AATGCCGGCATGCAACTCAGCACACTCTGCACGTCCTCAAGGAGGGCTGATCAAACACACAACATCAGAGATGGCCAACTGAGGACATCAGCAGCACTTACTATGCTTTAGATACTACTGGACATCCACCACAGCTATGTCTGACAGCTTCCCAATCAAACAGAATTTTAAAAAGAACACTGAAAAGCACAACAGCAAAGGCAGTCTACTGCACTGAGCTGTAAAACTCAATGCTACATTTCAAGCCTTCAGGGTAAATCCAATCTGCATCTAATGCTGCTTACTGAGCGCTGTAGTAGAACAACTGACTGCTGAGAAAGAGCCCTGAAGAAAATGATGCTGACATCAGAAACAAATTCAGAAGGTCTGTTGGGCAAAGAGGGGAACGGATGAGTTGTTATCATATTTTAAATACAATTAAAATGTCCATATATAGTTGTTAATGCATCATTATGCTGAACATAAGTGAATCCATGCTCATTTAGTACAGATGGCCTCAGGAGGTCAGGTACCATGTGTTAGCAGATTGAATGGATGAACAGGCTGAAGACTGAGCGACTCATATTTAATATGACGATCAACTTTACTTGACAACACAGTGAAAATGGATTGACATACAGTGCAAAAGTCAGAGACCACCTATTCATTTATTTAACTTAGAGCTGAAAGACGTATTAAGTACACATACAAAACTACACAAAAGTTTCCAACACTGCTATCAAATCTAACAGTATTTAATCTATTCACTCTTAACATCTGCACACTCTCCTGCAACTTTAACTCATCCCTCCGTCTAGTCTTCAAACCAACGAGTTACAGCTGCGTCCTCCCAAGAAAAAACATTTCCAATGGAGATATTACTGAGGTGATTAATTATAAGATAATCCACTTGCATAATGAAGGGGAAAATCAAAATATATCAAGTGAAAAAAGCAGGAGTTTCCAAAACTGCAGTTCAAAAATTATTAAAATAAATGTACAAAGTGGGATTCCTGACAACAATACAAAACCTGTTAGACCACTAAAGCTGTCACCTTTAGTTAAACAGAACATTGTTTTAAACAGCTTTTTATATTCATAGGAAATCAAGCTCCACTCTTGCTTCAGATCTGAAAAAATCCACAGGTGTTTCTGTCCATCCTTCCACTGTGAGAAGAAAACTCAACACTATGAGTCTGAAAGGATGTGTAGCTGTCAAGAAGCCCTTACTGAGAAAATTAAAATGGATAAAAAAAAAAGAAAAATTGCACTGGAACACCAAAACTGGACATCTGCAGCAGGGTTTTATGGACTGATGAGTCTAAATTTGTAACTGACATTACTTGACATTACACTGACATTAGACGGTGAGAATGAGAAAATGCAAACAACTTCTAAAACTGAACTTTGGAAGTGCTTATAAGAAGTATGGAATAATATCCCTGTATAAAAATGGAAGCTGCAACAAAGGCAAAGGGTGGACATACTAAATACAGAAAAAAAAATTGATTTAGTTGCTGATGCGTCTGTGTAATTTTCTATTAATTACTTTTTTTTTTAACTTTTATTTATTTTTTTTTTTACTTTTTCTGTTCTCTGAATTTGCATAGTACTGTATGCAGATAACTTCATGCTATTTCTCAAGTCACATAGGCCTTGAGCAGACTAGTAACAAATTTATGACTCAGTCATGGCAGTGAGTTTGCAGTGTTTTCAACTTAAAGTAACTAATTACTTTCTATCCTTTACATTGCATTTTTCCATCAGCCATTCACGTCTATAGTGAAGCAAAGGAAACTAACGGCTACATGTTTCAGTAGGTGTAAATCACAGATCCATACAACGTCCAGGCCATCCATCCTCTCAGCAGTCAGGAATTCACCAAACAAGGAGTAAGGAGCAGCCAGGTCTCCAGCAAAGCTGCCCTCACACTGTTTCTGATTCCACTAACACTGCGTCATTCTGCAGGAATCCTTTCTTTTCCCAGTGACGAAAATGTTAAATAGACTCATGCAGATGTACTTTTACTGTTACTTCAACTACAGGCAGGATTTCCCAGCAGTGGAGCTCCAGGTCTAGCCCTCAGTTTAGTAACAGTAGGCAATGGAACTGTTCAAACTGCTACATGGTTTTTATGGTCATAGTTGTGTGGTCATAGTTGTGTAGTATTGTTGTTTAATGCCCTCCTGTGGTCCTATAGTGGCTAACCAACTAATGAGACAGACCAAAACAAGCTAACTAAGCTGTTAGTTGTGTCAATTTCCATAATGACTTATAACTGATGTAGATGTTCTCCCATTTCAAAGTTAAAATCAGACGTCATTCACTCATTTACTTCTGTTGCCACTTTACTCTGTGATGAGATCAGTAAGCGGGAAAGAGAGCACATAAAGCACAGTCAGCCATGCTGAGTAGCAGGGTGGAGGCTGAAGGTAGAAGAGGTATAGCTCTGTCTGGAACAAGCAGGGAGGAAGATGAAATGGGTTGGGTGTGGGGATGAGGCTGGCGGGAATGCTCCTCTTAGTGGAAGAGCTATCATGAATCCATCATGAACACGAAGAAGAAACAGCCCCATTTATATGCACAGACAGGGAAAGAAAAGAAAAAAAGCCTTTAGGCCATTTTCTCCAGCTAATCACTAATGCAGTAAAACTTTAGAGTAAAACTATGGCTTCTTTATACGAGCTACTGATTAATAACAGATGTAAAGTAAATTCAAGTATTTTTATTTTAAAGAAGCCACTGTAAGTATGTAGTTCTCCAGGAGATATGTAAGAATTCTCAATTACCGTTTAATTTATAGTGAACTATCCAAATCTGTTCTTTTCTATAATTCCTACTTAGTAAATAATAGTAAATGCATGGAACGTGTGGAAGAACACATCGTAATGTCAGTTGTGCTTCTGACCGCTTCCTCGAGCAGATGAATCTGATTGTGAGTATGCTGAAAGAGTATTCAAAAAGAATTCAATGAAAAGCTGGTGAAGCACATGTCTTTAGAGGATGTAAGTGAATTATTTACTATTGTCATCATATCTTCACCAGTATAATGTTGATTTTGCATTTGAGTCCAAACATTGAGCAGGACCTTCTCTTTGAGCTGGTGCATGCAATAATATATGAAGCTATATGACGTAGTCTGAAAAACTCTTCTGAAATCTGATCTGACACCTCTGACTTTTACATGATTGTTTCAGGCTTTATAGGGTGACTCACAGCAGTGCACACACACACACACACACACACACCTTATCAGCTTCTTCTTTCATTTTTCACACTTTTTAATCTTGCATAGCTCTGCTTTATATATCCAGCTCTCAGTCTGACAGTCGTGATCGTGATGCAGACTGCCCCTCCTGTGTCTACAATTCAATAAAAAATATTATCCAGCTTTTATATTGTGATGTCTTGAAGATGGTAAGGTTCTTATTCACTTTATTGCTGGATGTGCATCCAGTTTGGCTAAATGAGCAAATGGACAGACATACAACAGGTGGACAGATGAGCTAGCTTGCTAGCTCAGTTATGCTAGCTTGCTTAGTTTTTGCTCAAATGTTAGATTTAGCTGGTTAGGTATCTCTGACTAGAACAAACAGAAGGAGACTGTAGGGGAACACAGTTAAGTGAAAGCTCTGTGGGAAAGACAACCCACACCAGCCTTGTGATTGGTAGAATACTGATTATGTACACGTAAAATTGTGACAAAACAGATTGGCTATTTTGTGAGCATTTGAACATTATTCATATGGAATATGTGGCACATGAATACTGTGGATCCACAAGGGCAAAATATCCTATTTAAAAGGAAAACATGAATTTAGACTCCCTGGGCTTTTAAGTGTCCTGCAGCACTATTAATTCTGCCCTGTTGCCCTGCATAGTTACTGACCCCTTAACAAGTCATGGGCTTCACCGGCAGGCCCAAAGTTTTATTACAAACTTCCATACCCTAAGAATAGCTGTATTAGTTTGCACTGAAATCCCTGTAGTTACTGAATAATAAGGCGTTACTGAATGTTAAAGGGTTAACTATGAAACAGCAACATACAGTCAAAGCCACTGATCCTAATGCTAAAACTGACAATGTGGTCTCTTCAAAAGTTCAATTATCCACCATGAGAGTTTAACCACTACTCACACAAACCTCAACTGCATCAATATCACATTTTCAGCTTTCGCACTTGTACAGCTACTCCAAGTATGCTATTGTCAATATAGTAACTGTTGTTCTTGAGAGCCTTGTTTACTCTCTAAGCTCAGCAGCGTCAGGTTTTCTGCAAGCATCCGGAGCAGCAGATCTTTTTTCTTTTCTTTTTGTATTTATTTGTTTTCCTCTACTCCTCTCTAGAATAACCCTGATGAGTTTTAAAGCTCACCTCATCAATGTTTAAATGGAGTCTAAATAGATTGAATGACTGCATTTGCTGCCTGAGGGGCTGCTCCTCTGGGCAGGTAGACAGCCGTCCTGCATACCTGCCATCTTCAAAACAATTTCTACGAACTCAGCCCTCTAACTGGAAACAGCAGCAGAAGAAGAAAAGGCACAAATCTTTTTGACACTGGGAAAACTATTAACTTTGATTTGTGTCAAAAACTAAAAACTACACTGATTCTGAGAACACAGAGAACAACTTGAAAGCTATTGGGAGTGCAGAAAAGGTAATGCTCTTGGAGTACGTACTGCATTGCCAGGAGTAAAAATAAATGTGGCCAAAGAGCATGAGGGAAAAAAAATCCTGCTGAGACTAATAACACACTTTAAACCAAAAAAGGGAAAGATCTGTTCAGTATCGTTTATTCTTTGCTATCCCTTCAGGCTTATCTGGCCTTGCCGAGAGCTGCCTATTTCAGATTCGACTCTTTAATTCCTTCTATGAATATGAATGTGGACTGATTCTCGCTGATCCCCAAAACAGGCAAACCCCTTTATCTAACTGATTTAGTGAGGACATTCAAATCACATATAATGTTCTAGAAAAATATTCAAATCAGAATCACATCAATAGCAGAGATGTTCTTACCAGTTCGTAGTTAGCAGCAGGAACGCAGGATGAAGAGACCTGAAACACAAACAAAGACATGTTAAGATGTATTAGTATCTTTAGTAATTGAGCAACAATGACAAACTCATAGTTCACTAAAGTTTACAAGTCCGTGCAGCATATATTACATAAGAAGCCAGGAACTGTCTTATCTTTGGACGTCAAATCCTGATACTGCAGATGAACCAACAGCTTACAACCATTATCATATGATATGTGACACGAATGAACAATGAACAGTTTTAATTACAGTCCTGTGCAAAAGTCAGAGACCACTCTTCAATTATTTCACTTCCAGTCAAACATCCATTAAGTGCAAATTATTCATTTTTCACTATCAGGAAAAAAGCAGAATACTTTTAGCTTCCATTCTTTTCATTAGATTTACTTTCATTTATTTTCAATGTACAAGGATATTTTTCCACATGTGCAAAATTCAGTCTTAGAAGCTGGTTGCATGTTCTGCTTTTCACAATCCAATGTCCAGTTTCAGCATTCTAATGCAAATGTTCTTCTGTTTTGTCTGTCTTTTATGCTTTTTCTCAATAATGTCTTCTTGACAGCTACTCATCCTTTTACAAAAAAGCTTTATATACTCTCAAAAAGCTTTGAGTACAGTACCAGATCTTGCACAGTTGTTAGGATTCTCATTTAAGCTATACATTTTGATCATTTTTAATTCCAAATTTGGAAACTCCTGTTTTTTCACTTGTTTTCCTGTGACCATTCCTTCCTTATGCAAGTGAATTATCTTATATCTAATCCTGTCAGAAATATTTCCTGAAAAATGAATAACAATGGCTTTTTGTCTGGAAATTATATAAAACAAGGATGGTCTCTGACTTCTGCATAGCACTGTACACTGGGCAGATGCATCCATTGCGCTACAAGTGGAAAAAAGGTTACTGAATCTTCAGTGAATCATATGCACAGACATCAGCTGCAGTTTTGTTTTCTCTGCTTTATAAATGGGATTGGGAAGTCAGTGATGTTTAAAGATGATTTGCTTTGCAGGAACCCATGATCTTCCGAGGGCCGGTCTAATAGGATTAGTGCTCTGGCCGCTGCCATGACCAATCCCTACGCCTGCAACGAACAAACGGCCACTGTGCTCCATAAACAGGATGGAGGAGGATAATCACTCGCCCAGCCATGGTTAGAACACGAAGATGAACTGTGAAACACAGCAGATCTAGACGTGAAGATGAGCTCTCTGCATACGCCCAAACAGGGCGCATGGCTGCAGCTTATTACTGCCGACTCACACAAGCGTCCATTCACATCACCCTTACGTCAGGGTCAAGACAAAGAAGGTAAACAAAAGCGGTCTGTGCTGAATGTCATTGCACTGTGAAATGAGGGAAAAATTCCATTCAGACACACAGCCAGGCATACATTTGGGGACACACTGACTTTTGTTGATATTAATGTTTTTATTTATGTGAAAACAAGTGGGTATATTTTGCAACACTCAGCTTCATGTGAGTGTACGTTTTGACTAAATAATAATTAAAGTTTTTGCAGAGCTATAGTTAAAAATATACATTACTGTGCAAAAATCCACCACTCATTTATTCAATTACCAGTCAAAATGACCAATAAGTACGTTATTTATTTCTCAGTGCCAGAAAAAACATCAATTTAACAGATAATTACACTGAAGCCTCAACAACTAAATGTTGTAATCATTTTTTAAATATTTAGTGTGTCCACTCCTTGCGTTTACTACAGCTTCCATTCTTTTCAGGAGTCTTGCTTTCAGCTTTCCCAAGAAACCTTCACGGATAATTTTTTCCACACAAAGTTCAGTCTTAGAAGTACATTGCATTTTCTGCTTCCCATGATCCACGTAATCCCAAACACATTCAGTGATGTTGACATCTGGACTGTGGGGTGGTCAGTTTATTGTTCTGAGAACACCAGCTGCTTCCTTGTTGGATTTACAAATGTTCTTTTTTGTCTATTTCCTTTCTTCAGTGAGGCCTTCTTGACGGCTACGCATCCTTTCAGACCCATAGTGTTGAGTTGTCTACTCATAGTGGAAGGATGGACAGAAGTACTTTGGATTTTTTTCAGATCTGAAGTAAAAGTAGAGCTTGATTTTCTGCTCTCTCTCAAAGATGAAAGCTTTAAGTGCTGTTTATTTCACGGTAGTTTTGATGGTTAGCTAGGTCATGCATGGTTGCTAGGAGTCCAATTTTCTTATATCTAATCTGCTGATAAACATCTCCTGAAAAATGAATAAACTATCCATAATGCTGATTATTTTTAATAAAAAAATGAATAAATGAAGAGTAGCCTCTGGCTTTTGCACAGTACTGTAGATCTGTGTTCAACCCTAAGTACAGAGTGACACAGAGTGACATCAAAACAAGGGTATAAAATCATTATTCTCAATTTAGTGCTTTTTTCAGCAGTTTTTGGAAAGAAAAATGGCATGATATAAACAACTTAGTCTGTTAAGTTATGTTAAATGGTTGCGAACTGACAAGCATGACATACTCATTTATTAAAAACATTTTAAAAAGCTGGGTGTCTGTAAAACTTTTGACAGGCAGCGTACAAATTCCACCCAGTGCAGCCGTACCTGCAATGAAAATGTGATACAGACAAGACGTCCAGAGGGATTCTCCATAGCCTGGATTAGATCAGCTCCCTGCCCCTGCTTTGACACGTTAATATACACATGTGCCTCTCAACTACCATTTGCACTGAATTTTGCCGTGTCCATTTCACAGTCCTCTTTGACGTTGGCTTTATAAATCAAGGCCTCTACAAGGTCTCACAGCTCTTTTGCTTTCAGGACCAAGTATACTCTTAAAGTAAAGGTGCCACAAAGGGTTCTTGGGCAATACCATAGCAGAACCAACTTTAGTTCCATAAAAAGCATGTTTGAAAAAGAGAGTAGTGAGTGTGCAGATGATGTAAAGGTTCTATACCAATGTGAGGGTTCTTTCTAGAACCTGTACAGTTTGTGGAGGTTCTTTAAACTTCTTCAGACTGTTTTTAACTTAAACAAACCACCACTGAAAGGTTCTTTTTAGAACCAAAAGTGGTTCTTCTAAGACATTAAGCAAAGAACCACTTCTAGCACCTTTATTTTGAACAGTATATCTCTGTCTGCACTTCTGTTTACAGTCTTAAAGGATTAAAGCAAAAACAGAGATACTGGGATATTCTGCATACTTTTGAATAAGTCCAAAAGAGCTGTACTTGTTCAAGATTCTTCTCTGATGGCTACATCAAGCTTGATTAACGCTGTTCAGGGTTAATCATCCTGTTTTATTTTAGAACATCAACAGGATGTTTTGAACTTAACTGGAGCCACGAGAAACAGCCCAGGAATGACTAGCGCTCGTGTTTGATTTGATTGAAAATACTTCCTACTGAAAGATGTTATTTCAGCTGAGGATGTGGGTGTGCAGAACACACAAACGCTAGAAAATCTCCAGCTCTCCCCCACCGCAAGGATCAGCTTAGCTAAATGGACCATAAACACAACAGCTGGAACAAGCACTATCAACAAAAGCACTGATAAGAATGAACCTTTCGTTTTCATTATGTGTAGATACGTTAAGATACGGACTCTCTGAGCTTAAAACACACTGAGGAAAGGGTTAAACTGTGCGGTTTTGTGAGGGAACTGCGTGCAGGAGATGCTGATTTCGAAATATTGCAAAGCTTTGCCTCTGGTTAAAATAAGTCCATATATCTTTTCCTGACATCAGCTCTACCTACGCACAGCCCTCCATCCCTCAGCAGCCTGAGTCACTGTGTGTCATTACTCGCTCAAGCTTCAAAACCACCAGCACTACACGTTTTACTTTCTGAAGAGTTAATCTATGACCTCACCTTGTTTCAACACAATTATGATTCTTAATGATATGATTTAACACATTACAAAAAAATGACTAACCCAATATGATTCAATTTAAATATTTAGGTAGAATTCAGAACTATTGTTAAAGAACTGTTTACACAAAAAAGCTTGAATACGCCTGGTCAAATTACATGGTTTGTTGATTTTCTAAGTGAAAACAAATTAAGACATCCTCTACAGGGAACACATGTAAATGTGGTATTTTTCTGCAAACTTAAGTGCACAATTTCTGTTTATTTGCTTAAGTTTAACACAGTGAAAAAAATAAAACACAGAATATACAATGTGCTATAACTTTTAGACAGGCCACATTTTATATATTTTTTCAATTATGTTAAATTTAGCTAATAAACAGTAACCGAGCATTAAAATGTGCAGTAGTGTGATCTCTGTAGACGATGTGTTACCTATTTTTTACTGAGAAAATCAACAAAACATGTCATTTGACCAGAGACGCCCAAACATCTGCATACAACTGTATACACAAAAGGACAATCAAATCAACATTTTGAGTTTGTATGTTTGAAAGTAGCTTGAGAATTTTTTTTGGACAAAAATTAGTGTACACTTAATTTAATTCTATTTATTACTATGAATTATCAATATTATTGCCTAGGAAATTGATGATGTTCAGTCACCCCTCAGACTTTCATTCCATAAATCATACTTTCAACCAACTCCATGGTCTGAGATCCATGCTATTCCCTTATCTCCCTCTAACAGTCTCAGACTGTAAGGAATGTTACACATACTGTCGCTGTCAGAACAAGCCTCGTATTTCCAAAACTGTAATTTTAAAGGAGAAGGAAAACAAGTAACTTTCAATGGAAGTCTATGCAAAAAACATGTCTTATAAGCAATTTTGGTCCATACATTATGAATTTTCACACAATGTAAGGACCAGATGGTCTTTTCAACTTATGGACAAAGGTAAAAAAAAATCAAAAAATGGAGATTTTGTCTTGAGGTTTTGTCCCGACAGCGACGATATCCTAATTCTGCGTGTGCAACACAATGTCTTGCTTTTCATCTTGGTGCTCATATTAACAGGTCAGAGCTCGAGTGAGCAGAAAGACAGTGCATCCCAGATGCGCCCCAGAACTGGCTCAGCATTTAGAAAATACCGTTTGAGCCTATT